TGTGTGTGTGTATATATATATGTATGTGTATATATGTGTACATTTGTGTGTGTGTGTGTATATATATATATGCGTCTCTCTCTCTTATTGTGATATTTATGTGATACAGATGATGATAATATATTAATCTTCAGAATGAGGGATTTCTTCAGTGTTGCTCCTTCACGTCTTTAATTATGGAGGAAACATTAAATCTCTTCACATTTTAACATCAGTTAGAATAAAGTTCACAACCAGCCTGAACATTTAGTAACAGGTTTATTTTAACGTACTCTTAATTTGTTTGTTTATTCTATTGTACTTTTTCATACGTTTTATTTTTTAACCAAATTCCATATATGTGCAAACGTACTTTGTAATATTCTCATTCTGACATCTGTGCAAAAGCCCAAAAAAACCAAATTCACATTATTTATTATTTTAACAGATGAGCGTCTACAACTATAACTCTAGAGTTATAGTTCATGTTACAGATTATTTTAACCTAATATCTTGATGGAGATATTTCAGCGATATTGTCGAGTTGACTATCGATGATTTAACTAAATATTTACCCGATGATATTTTATGATAAATGATCATCAGTGATGTGGATGTGAGGACGAATGATAGAAGTTACACGTTACTGTAATTCAGCCTTTAAGAGCAGGAAAAGATGACGTTTATATTATTATTATTATTATCACCATATAGACATCGATATAAAACCGATGTATTGTCCAGCACTAATTCATGTTAACACACAAATCTATTAAATATTCTTTGCTTTACAAATTCTGAATAATATTTCAACCCTGATAAGATGAATTTGTGCTCGTTTGATAATTGTTATCGTGCTGTAAACTAATTCATTAAATAATTATTTCATCCTGAGTGTTTCTTATAAAGTCTGCAGACAGCAGGATGTAAAGTTGTTCACACATTTACAACAACAGTTTGATCCACGTTTTCAGAACATTAACGTATTGTTTTTAATCTTGTATCTGAGGGTTGTTTCTTTCTTATCCTCGCTGATGGAAAACACACAATATTCACGATTAATATATTATATTTATGATAAATAATGCAGCTCTCCTGTTAACACATGAACGTACTTTCTATCCCTTTTCAGGCGGTGTGTGTGGAGAAGAACGCCACGCTGGGTGGAACCTGTCTGAACGTCGGCTGCATCCCCTCAAAGGTGATCAGCTGGTGTTTCTTCTTCTGTGGTTTGAGCGACAGCAACATTATCCTGTTTGATATCGTTTATCTAGTTCATTTTACAGTCTGGAGTTCACAAAGCTGCTCAAATAGTGGAACATGAGATACATGAAGCAAGTGAACACCTCAGGATTAAGATGTAGAAGCATAAACAACTCTCTGCTTGATGTGTGTGTCTGCAGGCTCTGCTCAACAACTCCTACTTCTACCACATGGCTCACGGCAAGGACTTCGAAAGCAGAGGCATCGAAAGTAAGAAACCTGAAATGCTTTTAGGTCTTGAGTTTGAGACGAAGCGGCTCATCAATAACTCGGTTATTGTTGTCTGAATATTCATATTTGATGTCACCGTCGTCTCCTCAGGATTAATGCTGACTCCAGGTCCGTCTCTCAGTTTCAGGGCTCTCGTTAAACCTGGAGAAGATGATGGCTCAGAAGAGCGGAGCCGTCAAAGCTCTGACCGGAGGAATCGCTCATCTATTCAAACAGAACAAAGTCAGTCAGTCTGTCTGTCTCTCCCTCTCTCTCTGTCTCTCTCTAAATGTAACTGAAATCTGAACCTCTGACCCCTTCTTCCCCCCCCCCCCAGGTGATCCACGTTAACGGGTACGGGAGGGTGAGCGGTAAGAACCAGGTGACGGCCGTGGCAGCAGACGGCAGCGAGCAGGTGATCAACACCAAGAACATCCTGATCGCCACCGGCTCTGAGGTCACACCTTTCCCTGGGATCCAGGTAGGACCCCATGAAGCTGGGAGACACTGAACTTCACAGTCACATGCGTATTTTGGGGCATTCATCACCAAATCTCTTAGTCTGATAGTCGAGTATACAAAGAACCTTTTCCTCAACGTACTTGAGTTGAATCTGTGAAAATGAAACGTGTAACTGTTGAAACAGTCTCAAATGTTCTCTCTCTCTCAGATCGATGAGGAGAGCATCGTGTCGTCTACAGGAGCTCTGTCCCTGAACACGGTTCCAGAGGAGATGATCGTGATCGGAGCCGGAGTCATCGGAGTGGAGCTGGTCAGCATCTCTTCTGTCCAATCAGAGCCTAGAGCCATAAAGTAGCTCGTTGCCACGGCTGTAGCGATGAAACATTTAGAACCGGAGACATTAAAGTATTCTAGAGACTCAAACAGATGAAAAGCTCAAATCAGTGATGATAAACTGATAGAGGACATCTGGTCATCGTGTGTCAAACGTTAAACTACTTTTCAGAGACGGACACGTCGATGACCGATGAGAACCAATAAAGTAGAGGACTTGTGTGTCTGCGTCATCGCTTCTACAGGTTTACGTCTCTACCAGTCCAGACTGAAACACAACCGCAAAGCTTTTAACACTACAGCGACGTCAGCAGCGCTTTACTGGCTCTCAATGGCCGGAGTAGAGTTGGACACGAGGCGTAAATGTAGGAGAAAGGTCTCATTGGTGCGTAAACGTTCCCTAAAGTCACACAGCTGTTGATCCTCCTGTCCTGCAGGGGTCCGTTTGGCAGCGTCTGGGCTCCAAAGTCACAGCGGTGGAGTTCCTCGGCCACGTGGGCGGCATGGGCATCGACATGGAGATGGCCAAAAGCTTCCAGCGCATCTTGCAGAAGCAGGGCCTCAAGTTCAAGCTCGGCACCAAAGTCATGGGAGCCACCAAGAGGCCCGACGGCAAGATCGATGTGGCGTGAGTACAAAATAAAGAAAACACCCTGAATCTTATATTTAAACTAAAGCAAAGCAGCCATGTGTAACCCCGCTTTGGTGTCTCAGGGTGGAGGCGGCGGCCGGAGGGAAGAACGAGACTCTGACGTGCGACGTGCTGCTCGTCTGTATCGGCAGACGACCGTTCACACAGAACCTGGGTCTGGATTCTGTCGGCATCGAGCTGGACAACAGAGGACGCATCCCCGTCAACAACCGCTTCCAGACCAAAGTCCCCAGGTACCACGAGTGACCGGAGAACAATTGAACCTTCTACAGCTCATCGATTAACAGAACCACACTCCCTACTATGAACCTGGTGTTATATTTACAGATGTTTGTCATCATAGTAAATAGAAAACTTATAATATAAATTAAATTAGCATCAATATCAACGCAGAAAAGAAATAGCGATATGATAAAATGTGATTTTTTTTTTTTATATATATATATATGTTTCTCATAATACTTAGTACACATCTGAGCCATAGTAAACATTGAATGAAGTGATGTGTGTGGTGATTATATCTGCAGTAAGATGGAGCTTCATCATCATATAAATCA